TAACAGATCGAAGTTTCAGAATGTATTGGGGAATTCTCCCATTTAAATACTGAGCAAGCACCCAAGACACACGACCATGGCTTTGGAGTGGACGAATTGCCATTGGGATTGATGAACCCATAAATCGGTATAATCGATATGACGATGAGGGTGTGAATTATCATAAAAAAATACATGTACTAATCGGGTCATTGAGATCGTTCTTGAAGAGCATGGTGGTGCATCGATTTCGACGACTTTTATCACTCATCAAAGCACAACCAAAAGGCGACGAGGAGGAGAATTATACCTGAGAAGAAGCCATATTGCCCTATGAAAATTCAAACCCATTTAGTGCAAATGGAAGAAGAAGAAGAAGAACCCATTTGGAAGAGATGGATTTTTGCTACTAATGAGTCATAAAAATCTTCATTCAAACGAGAACAATAACAATAACAACAACCCATTTATCTCTTGCCTCTCTCCAACTATTTTTTCTTATTTTTGATATACCTCAATTGGGAAAGGGTTAACTTGTTCGTGGTTAGTTTTTGGACGCAGAATTTTTCCACCGTAGAATTAGCTCAAACATGCTATTTTTATGCCTTTTTTCACTTTTTCTATCTATTATTTGTTGTAGAAATGTTAAGATGGGTTGAGGTGGTCGACGGTGACTGGCATACAAGTGTTATTTTTGGGTTTTGGGTTTATTTGGAGGTGGGTAGGGGTGAGGTGAGATGAGTGAAGAAGATGAAGTGAGTGGGTCGTGGATGGGGAATTTTTTTTTTTTTTTTTTATTCTAAGTGACGAAAATGCCATTGTTTAAAATTGTCAAAATATCTAATTTTTCTATTTTTCAGGTCAACTGAAGGTGAAATTCACGTTTTCCGTCATTTTGGACTTCGAGTGCTAATTTTCCAAAGGTTTGGAATTGCTGGTGGCACAAACTGAAGATTATGGTAAATGCAAAAAATCTAAAGGTTTGGGACCGCTACTGCAATTATCCCTTAATCATATATCAATCATGATTAATCTCTAGGATTTCTACACTCTCCCTCAAGTTAGATTGTGGATATTGATCATTGCCAACTTGCAGATGAAATCATCAAAATTGTGCATTGGTAATCCTTTAGTAAAGATGTCCACAACTTGTTCTTTTGTAGGAACATATGTCATACAAATAACTTTGTCTTCTTTGATGAAATGTCTATCTATTTGTACATGCTTAGTTTGGTCACGTTGAACGAGATTAAGAGAGATATTGATGGCAGCTTTGTTATCACAATCGAGTTTGATCGGTAATCTTGCAATAGCCTATAGTTCTTTTAAAAGTTTCTTTAACTACAATCTTTCACATATCCCTTGTCAACAGCTCTAAACTCAGCTTTAGCACTGTTTCTGGCTACTACATTTTGTTTCTTACTTCTCCAAGTGATTAAGTTTCCCCATACAAAAGCACAACATCCAGTAGTAGACCTTCTATCCTCAGTTGAACTTGCCTAATCAGCATCTGTAAAGATCTCCACTTTCCTTCTTTCATATCTCTTGAAAATATACATGTACTTGGAGTCCCCTTGAAATACCTTAGTATATTGTACACAGCTTCTAGGTGAGCTTCTTTTGGCGAGTGCATATGCTGGCTTACTACACTTATTATAAAAACGATACCAGGTCTATTGTGTGACAGATAGATTAGTTTACCAACAAGCCTTTGATACCCCTCCCTTTCAACTGATTTTCTTGCATCTTATATCATTCCGACTTCAATGGGCATGTCACTCGACTTACAGCCGAGCATGCCCATTTTGGTTTAGAGATCAATGACATATTTTCATTGAGAAACACCAATTCCTTTCTTCGATCTAGCCACCTCCATTTCTAAGAAGCACCGCATCTGACCTATATCCTTAACTTCAAATTCAGTGGCTAAGACCTTCATTCTTTCCATCTTCTGGATATTATCTCCAGTTAGGATGATATCGTCTACATATACAATCAAAATTTCCTTCTTCCCATTAATCTGCTTGTAGAACATAATGTGATCAGATTGTCCATGACAATAACCTTCTCTTTTTATTACCTTTGAAAAATCTATCAAACCATACTTTAGGAGAGTGTTTGAGTCCATACAATGACTTCTTCAACTTGCATACTTTGTTTCTTCTCCCTTTTTACAGAAACCTAGAGGTAGTGTCATTAAAACCTCATCTCCTAATTCGCCATTTGAGATTCTTTATGTCGAGTTGCTGAAGTGGTCAATCTAGGTTGGCAGCCAAGGACAAAAGAACTCGAACTGTGTTCAACTTAGCCATGGTGCAAAGGTTTTTTGAATGCCCTCATTTTCTCCATTACAACTTCTCTCCACTCAAGAATCTCCGATGCCTCTCGAATATTCTTAGGAATTTTCACACTATCAAAGTTAAAAGTAAAAACACGATACTCTGTGGATAATACATTGTAGGATACATATTTTGAAATAGGATAGAGAGTACATGAACGAGATTATTTTCTGAGTGCAATAGGTAAATCAATATTATCAAGTTTAGGAGTATTAGAGAGAAGTTCTATTACCTGATCTGACATAGGGAAAAACTCTTAGTTATGCAGAGCTGCCACCAGTTCAGACTCAATCGGTACCTTATGTGTGAGATTCGCATTGAGCCTTGATTTTGGCTTTTGTCAGTAAACAAGTACCTCTTTGTTATGCTATTTTTCTACACATTCCTCTAAGTGTAAGCTTCCTTTTGTAATCGACAAAGGAGAGTGATAGAATCGATGTTTGGGGAAAATCAAAGAAAAAAGAGTCACCCGCCGAGTGATTCAAGATCCGAGATACGGGAAAAGAATGGGGTAGAAATGAATGGTTTCAAAGAATGTTATATCAAAACAGACAAATGTGCGATGTGATACAGGATCATAGCACTTGTAACCTTTTGAGTAAGGTGAATAACCAAGAAAAACACATTTTGTGACTCACGATTCTAATTTAGTTTGCTGGTGTGTATGGACACGTATAAATGATGTACAGACAAAGATTTTAAGGGGAAGAGTGGAACTTGATCGAGAGTGAGAAGATGAATTTTGAAATTTGTGAAGATGGGTGACAAATGAAAGGATTCGACTAGGCATTCTATTGGTGAGATATGTTCCGATCAAGATAGCACGCCAAAAAAAAATTTGGTATGTTGGTAGTGAACATTAAGGCACGAGCTACATCAGGGATGTGTCTATTTATTTCGTTTGGCAATCCCATTTTGTTGAGGGTGTCGACCATAAACTCTGGTGAATGATGTCATATTCATGAAGATAGAGACTCAAACACTGATTGAAATAATTAGAACCATTGTCGGTACGTAAAAAATGTATTTTGGTGTTGAATTTTGTTTGGACCATAGAGTTAAATTGATAAAAACATAATGGACTTCAGTTTTATATTTTAGCAAATTAACCCAACAAAATTGTGTATGGTCATCTACAAATGTGATAAATCATTTTGTGTGTGTTCGACTAGAAATGCGGGAAGGACCCCAAACATTACTGTGAATCATAGTGAATGGCATGGTGGGTTTGTATGTAGACTTTGGAAATGAAGTACGGTGATATTTTGCAAGTTCACACACTTCACATTGAATATCAAGAGATAATTTATTGGAACAAAGAGTCGGAAATAAATGTTGTAAATATTGAAAATTAGGATGACCCATCCTAGAATGCCATAATAGGAGTTCACTATTCTTAGAGGGAATCATAGATAGCATTTTGACTCTGGTTACTCACTTTAGCTTGCTCAAAGTAGTAGTCTCTTACACTCCTTAACACTTCCATTCATCGCCCGATGGCAAGTCCTTAAAGACACAATGAAATGAAAGAAATTTAGCAGAACAATTGGAGTGTTTAGTCGGCTGACTTATAGACAACAAATTACAAGATAATTTTGGAACGTGAAGGAGTTTAAAGTGATAGAATCGGAAATACAGAAACTTCATTTTGTCAGGAAAAAGGGATCATCTGCAATTTTTACTTTCATATTTCCAGCACATGATGAATATGTTGAAAATAAATGATAAGAATCGGTCATATGATCAGATACTCCTGAGTCTATAATCTAGAGAGTACGAGTACGAAAGGTGGTTAAAGCTTTCAAGGGATTACCTCTATGGGTTAAGGAACCGGAAGGAATGTTTTTTTATGACTAGAGGATTGAAGGGTAGCAATTATCTCCATGATCTTTTCCAATTGATATGAATTTGAGGTGTTACTGCTTGGAGTGGACGGAGTATTTTTTTTTTTTCTCTCCTTGCCGTTTCTTGATTCGACTCATGCGAGTTCCCGAAATCATCGATTCCTCGCTGGTGACAGAGACGTCCCCATTGTTAGCTCGATTTAGGAGAACACTAGCTCTAATACCATGAAGAATGAAATACGAATTTTCTATATTTCTTGATTGAATTGTACACACATATTACACCCTATTTATAGTACAACAATAAAAAGGAAAAAGGAAAAAATAATCTTCTAATTTAGGATACAAGAAATTAGCCTAACAATCAATCTAAGTTATGGATGATTAATCATATATCAATTATGATTAATATCTAGGATTTCTACAAATAAATTATGTATCCAATTATTTATATGCAATGAAATTTAATCACGTGCACACTTCTAAGCAAACTTCATTTAAACCATCTTACCTAAAACTTTGCATTGCTATAGAGGAAACAAGCTTGTAAGTTGATGCTTAATGTTTGCTCATTCTTTATTGAGAAATTAACTTGAACACATATAAGTTGATATCATGTCAAATCATCTCATTTAAAAGGGGAAAAAAAGTATCAAAGAAAGATAAATTAACTTATTTAAATGAGATGAACTTAAATTCTTGAACACTTCTAAAGATACTGTTACACGACTGTTACATTCTTACAATACTCCAAATTTGTGCACAAGGTCTGGTTTGGCAACCCAGATCTCGAAAATAAATTACATCAAAAGCAACAGTGAATGACAAGAACCTACTCTCAGTCTACAAATCCAGGTTCAGATATCAAAGAACGAAGCTCTTTAGCTTTCTCATTATTGAAGCCTAGTGCAGTCAGTACTTTGTATCCTGGTGATTCTTCATGCATCCATACTCCGAGAAGTAAATGAGTAGTAGCAATTTCCCCGTCGTTGCCTGTGTTTCACATCAAAAATAAGGGAGCGGACAGTTACTAAAATGAGTAGGAAAAGCAAAAGTACAACATAGATTCTTCAAGTGCGTGTTTGGTAACAGTAGACAACAAAGGACAGTATAAACAAGTTTTCATTTCTCAATGAGCTTGAGCTTTAGAATTTGGTAAATGCATCGTTCCATATATTTCCTTTTGTTCTCGTAGAATTAGAGAATCAGAGCACTGATTGATATTTAAACAAATACAGTATACTAGTGATGAATAGCCACTGCTTAATATAATATGTTTGGGCTAAACTTAAAAAGTTTACTTAAAAGTAAATAAGTTTTAAAAATAAAATAATTCTTCAAGTGCTTAAGTTAGTAATAAGTCACGTATTTTGATAGTAAAATAAGAGTTACTTTCAAACAGATAACTTTTTTACTTTAATTACCGGGAAAATAAAAATCATGTCCAACTATGTTTGGAGCAAAAGTAACTTTTACTATTCTTTTAAGCTTAGCCAAATGAGACGACTTTAATTGGCCAAAATATTGGACCACAGTCCAGTGGTGAGACAAACTTAACTGATAATAAATGTTATTTTGTAGTTGAGATTTTCCATGCACTCAAAGACTCTTGTGTTCCGACATCTGACGGAAACAAATTAATCACCGCAAAAAAAAAGAGCAATAAAAATTTGGGCTGGGCAAAATGTCCAAACCGAACCGAACCGAGCGGGTTTTTTAAAATGAAATACTCGAATGGGTATTCGAATCGAGAACCGAATGGTTTGGTTCGGTTCTCGGTTTTAGACCAAGAACCGAAGAAGAACCGAATTTTTTTTTTATATTGGATAAATCAATTTCTTTTATTTTTTCTAAACAAATTAATAATTTTTTTCTTATTAAATCTTATTAGTTGAACAATTTAGAGTTTATTTATGTTTGTTAGTTGTGTTTTTTTCAATTTTTTCTTGTATATTTTCTTAGTAGTTAGTATGGAAAGTTAAGCAAATGATGATTACATTAAATAGTTGGTAAGTATTATCAATACTTTAAAATATTTTATCTTTATGACTTCTAATTTATATTTCATTTTTATGTAGACTTGAAGGTTTGAAGCAAATGAATTATTAATATGAATTATCGAAGTTTTATTAGTAATATTTACTTTTTGGTATTTATATTTGACAACTTATTATTTATATGTTATTAAATTAGATTACGTTAATTTGTAAAAGTTAAGATTGAATTTGGTATTTGTATCTACTTTTTGTTATTAATATTATTATCTACTTTCAGGTATATTTATGTAGTATTATTTTAATGTTAAAAAATTTAATTATAGTACGGAAGCGAACGGAACCGAACCGAACGGTTCCAAAATTATATTTGGAACCGACGGTTCCATTTACTAAATACCCGAAAATTTCTGGAACCGAAAAAAACCGAACCGAACCGACCCGCGCCCACCCCTAATAAAAATGCAAGCTAAAAAAGAACACCAAGTCGTTATAAGGTCCCGTTTGACATGTCTTTTGCTTTTGCTTCATGTAGAAAAGAGGAAGCTACATTAATTTTTGTTTGAAAACTAATTTTCAAAAGAGTTTCCTATTTCAAAAGTGCTTTTAGTGAAAGCCACATTGGATCTGCTTCCTTTAAAAGAACTTCTAACTAAAAGAAGCACTTTCATTAAATTAGTCAAACGAGTTTAAAAACAGCTGTTGGATCTCAAAAGCTCCTTTTGACTGTTCAGAAGTCATGGCAAACGGGCCCTAAATGCATTCTTAGGAAGATGAAGAGGAAAATTCGTGACAAATAAGAAAGATATTCTAGAAGACCGCGTTAAAAATGTGATGGTCGGGAAACTCACCGGATTTAAGCTTCTCATCAATAGCCCAATCAAGGGCCTTTTGAGCATCTTCGGTTAAAGGCGGATGCTCAGGACTGAAAAAGTACAGATCAGGTTTTCCACGTAATTTGACAATTTCTTCACGCACTTTAAGAAGTGTAATTCCATTTGCACGCAAAAATTTTGAAGCAAAATTTGTTCCTGCAGACCAATAAATGTAACATAGAAGTATGATCTTCTAAAGTCACGAAATACTGTTTTTGGCCAAACTGAAAAAAAATAATAATAAATAAAGGTAAACTTACTACCACCGTAATATTTTGTATGAAAATCCAGGAAAAAAAAACCTTACAAAAATCTCAGGTGTTTTTGGCCAAAAAGTTACTTCAAAGTAACTAATAAGCTTAGTCAAACATGTCTATGCCACCTTTCATGTCTATTCATTATGCAATTTTTTTATTTTTATTTTTTTTGTGGAAGCTCTGTTTATCTCTAACTAACTCCCGTTATAAAACTAATACTCGTAATGCCTGTGTTCCTATATTCTTAAAAACTTTTAGAAAATATAAGAAGTGAGATTAAGTTGATCTCTAACTACCTCCCGTTATAAAACTAATACTAGTAGAGCCTATGTGTTCCTATATTCTTAAACTTTCAGAAAATAAGAAGTGAGATTAAGTTATTGCTACCCCTTTGCTATGATGCTCGTACTCGGGTACGGGAATCAGATATGGGTATGTATCTAAATTTTGGATATTTTATTTTTTAAAATAAAGGATACGGGGACATGTCTAAAAAGAGTCCAAATTTCAGACACGGGTACGTTTCTCAAACTTCAACTTTTTACTAACCCAAGATATTATTTTAAATAGATCAAAATCAATTGTTCACAAAGAAATAAATGAGTATTGAATAAGGGGTTAAAACAAATAAAATAGAATTTTGGGGTTTAACTTTTAATTATGGGAAGTTAATTACTAAATGTTTATAAATAGAAAATGAGGGACTTAATTGCAATTTAGACTTAATGGAATACTAAGAAGCACGAACCCATTTTTCATTTTATATAAAGAAAACCCTAAACCATCGATACAGAAAGGAAATAAGAAAAAAAAAGAAGGGAAAGAAAAAAGAAAAATAAGGGAAAACCTAGTTCGCTGCCAAGAGGGTGAGAGCAAAAATAGGAAAGAAGAGAAGGAAAAGAAAAAGAAAGAAGCAGAAACGGCAAAGGATCCAATTGAAATTTGGAGGATCCGACACATATTTCATACCTATACGCATGTCGTGTCGTGTCGTATCGTATCCAATACGGGTACTTTGTCCATTTCGAAGAGTCCAAGCATCAAAGCTCATTTGTATATATTAAAATAAATTTGATGCATAGGTTGGGATGCACGCATGTAAGCTGTTTAAATAACTGGAATCCGGCTAGTATTTTTGTAACACAAAGTTGAAATGACTTTATTCAATCATTCAGAAACAACAGATGAAATTATACTCCGAGATACATGGACTATGCGCTTTGGCCCAAAACCATAAACGAACACCCCTCACATTTACAAGTATACCATTGCAATGTCACCAAAATATTGTCAAATAT